TTGAAGATATGCAAGCTTGTATATATGCAGATTGCTGGAACAAAAATTCATGAATAAAAGTGTTTTGAGTAGCATATGAGGGAGTTAGATTTTTTAAAGATTAGAATATTAATTTAAATTTCAATAAATTAACAGTTTAAGTTAAATGATAATAATATAGAAAACGTTTAAAACTATTGCAAGTTCTGATTTATAATTGTCTGGGCCGTGTTTTATGAAAAGATGAGGTCTTGGCAAGTGGAGGGGCATGTTACCTATAGCAGCACGGATATAAAACCGAGAAACGAGGCCGAATTAGGTCCGGCGGGCATGTGGAAGTATAGAAATAATTAAGGGTCGTCGGGTTAGGCCCGTGAAGTGCTTGTTAATTTAAAAAATTTTTAGAAAGAATTCCTAGTCAAGCAGACACCTCCGCTTCGGCTTCCTAGGAAAGATGTTATAAGTTCTATCAAGAACGCTCCTAGGTCGCTTAGCTGAGCTGGGCTCAGCTGGATCATAAGCAGGAAGTGAATGCAAGACTGGGTTTTCGATCTGCGTTAATCTATTAAAGAATTTGGCCGAATTTTGCCGGAAAAAGGCATCTAGGGGTAGAATTTTGAGATCGTTATGAAGCACTTCATTACGGACGAAATAATGAGCATTTGTCAGGATACGAAGCGTGACGCTCTGGAATACTTGGATTTTCTTTAGATGGCTATTGGCAGCAGTAGACCAGACGACAGCTGCGTACGTCAGGATCGGTAGGATGGTACTCTTGTATAAAAGGATCTTATTGTTGAGGGAGAGGTTGCTGGTTCTTTTGAGGAGAGACATCAGTTGGGTTCTTGTAGTTCTTGCTTTGGAGATGGCGTAATTGATGTGGGTATTCCAGAGCAGCTTCGCATCTAGATAAACTCCCAGATATTTATAGGATTCCACCCAGGGTACATTTTCTTCAAATAATCTGAGTGGAGGGAGTTGACTATGGACATTCCTCTTTCTGGAAAAGAAAACTGTGGCGGCACTTTTTGCGACATTAATTTTGATTTTCCAGGTAATGAGCCAGGACTCCAAGTCTGTTAAATACAGCTGTAGGTGATTGAGAGTGGCATGTAATGTTGAGTGCTGTGAAATGATGGCTGTGTCGTCTGCATAGAGTGCTAGATCGACACTTGGTGTTTGTGGTATGTCATTTACATACAAGTTGAAGAGCGTAGCGCTAAGAATTCCTCCCTGAGGCACCCCAGCCTAAGGCGAAAAGGCGATCACCAATTCTTCCGAGGGCGCTTATTTTGGCGCGTTTTCGCACACGGGCGAATGTCTGCTGTTTTTTAAAGATTATTTTTAGACGCGCGGTTCAGCGCATATAACTTTCGGATAATTATTAATTCTCGAATAGTATATAGACGTTTTCACTTAAATAAAAATTTCGCGTATATTTTGTAAACATATTCAAAATAACTTATTCTTTAGATGTTTCAGTTTCGTTAGCAGACTATAATAAATAAGATATGAATAAAAACTTTCAATAGTGTCAAATGGGGAAATAGTTAAAGCGTAGAGTGTGCAAATAAATTTATCTTAATGACATTTTAACAAAAATTTCCATAAAAACACTGTAAATTCATACTAAAAAATAACTTAAGAATATGTTGTCATTTAAGTCTGAGGTACATGGAAATAATTGTGCAAGATTCTGAAGAAAAAACACTTTCTTTTAAATGTGTGAAATATTTCATAACATAATATGGAAGAAGAAAGTACAGCATTCTGTGTTTTGGATGCTTTTCATCAAATGTAATATAAATACGAACTAGAAACCGTAATAAAAAGTCCTTCCTCTTCAATCAGATCACCTTTGTGTTGCATTGTATTTGTAATACTTCTAAAAATCCAGTTTTACCTAAATTAAAAAACAGTTATTCCATAAAAGATAATAACTTTGAACGTATATAGAATGAATTTTGTAATTTGAATTATGTTACAAAATAATTCATAGTTTATATATTTTATACTAATAATTTAGATAAAACCTGTCCAATTTAAGAATGTGTGTTAACCACATTCTTAAATTGTAAAAGGACGACTTAACCACATGTAATTCATTTCAAAGCATAAAAGAAAGCTTATTTTTTATTTTACACAGCAACAGCATTTTCATGCAGTCAAGTTTTTTTAACTGCTAGTTATTATACATAATACTTAATTTTAAACCCATTCTTATTAGAAAGCATAACTAAGAAACTTCTTTTTAAAGCACCACAGTGATTGCAAAGAATGTCCTTAAATTTACAAAAGTATTGAAGATATATTGAACAGCATTATAACAAGAAAGTACTGTACAAAATATGTAAATTTAGCATAACTTCTTTTTTAATATTTGCATAGTTTCCTCCAAATGAATCTTAATGGGAAGTTATCTTGCAAAAATTTAAAAGTATTAAAATGGCCTCTATTTAAGATGTAACTGCATTTATAATTATTTTGTAATTGCGAATAGATTATATTATTGCAATTAGATTATGCACTTACAACATAATTGCATAAAGTAATGAAATTAAGAGTTCACAGATACAATGTAATATAATTACAATGCAATTACCTAAATTGTAATTATAATCACTTATTTCATACCACAATATTATTACAATCACAATGTAATTTAAATTGGGTACTATATTTGCATACCCTCCACTCAAAAGGAGGTACTGATAAGCCTGGAAGTTATTATCAACAAAAAGCCTGTTCAGGACAGTTTGATGACAATTTCCACCGGGCGAAAAGTACATTCTTAAGCCCAGGCAAATCATGACAATAAAAATCATTTAGTCTTATGATTCACTATATTTTAAAATTCCAACTCCTAAATTTGAATTCTGCACCAAATTATTTACCTATATTTTAACATACTTTATGAATTATTAGAAGCGATATGGCAAATATCTTCTAAAAATAACTGTAAAATATTTGTATCCATTAATTGATTCAGATACACACTTTTATTATTTAAGTATATCAAAATAACAGTTTCATGTTCCTGAAATACAAAAGTTATGAAAAAAGTTAAAGTAATATTCTTAGAAGCATATGATATTAGTCACCAGATGCAAAATTATAGTTAATTTTTTGCCCTAAATACAATTTTATTACACAGTAGTCAAATGTGTAACTTAATAACATGTTATATAAAAAATTAATGATAATAAGTTTATCAGAAATGAATTAATTCTGCAAATAAACTTTCTGCACTTGAAAATTTTCTACACCTGAGGGGAGGGAGAGATCTAGTAAAATTAGATTTATTATAACTTCAGTTGGACCAAACACCTTCTCTCTATATATATGCATCACTAAAGAAATAAATAAAATTATCATGCTTAAAAAACAGATATACCATACCAGTTTTTTTTCCCCTTGTTACACTTTACATTGAGAAATAACAAACCGTACAACACTGAAAAATACTATCCTTGAAATTTTGTTTAAATGAAGAAACACACACCATCTTTTTATTTAAGCATTACACTTCAAAAACAGATACACATACCAATTTATTTTCACTAGCCTTTATACTGAAAAATAACATGCCATATAAAAATGAAAAGAATTATCCTTGAAATTTAGATAAAATGAAGAAACACATAATCTTTTATTCACAATGAATAAAACGATTATTCTTCAAAAACAGAAAATTTACAGGATACACATTCTGCACATATTCGGACATCAGCACAATTTTTTATAACTATTGCATGTTTTTTTCTATTGTCTGACATGATCCACAAGTGCCTAAAAAATGTACCCAAAGAAACGCATTTCAATATTAACAAAAAATTGTTTACAGATTAAAATTCATTCATTTCATACCAGTATTATAAAGATCATGCATGAAACAAATCTGCTTTCCCATACTTTTAAGTAAAACTTTTATACTGGAAAATATTTCTATAATTAGAAACAAGAAAATACTAATTTGAATTTTTGCATTCATTTCTAAATCTTTACTCCATTGCCAAATTGTATAATACTGTGATTATAAATAAACTTGCACAATCCTTGCAATTATTGAAGTTAGATTATATATATTTTGTCTCTCACACTATTCAATTTATTCTATTGACTTCAGATGTCAATGTCAAAATTCTGGAAGTTATTTTAACCAAGAAACAGTAGTGGGCACCGTGCATAAACAACTCATCTAACTTTTTAACAATAGTGATTATAAAATAAAGAAAAAATTATATATCATTCCAACGATATTGCAACTATAGTATAATGTTACATATATCTTTAGCAAACATTGAGATTTTATCTTGACTTTCCAAATTATTATTTATTTTTAATAAATTTCAATATGCTAATGATTTTCATGTTACATTAGTATAAATTCCACAATTAGCACAGGAAAACAAAATCCGCGCTTTATATTAGAAGAGAAATTTCTTTTCCATATTCAAAACATCTACATTGACGATGTTTGGCGACGGGTACATTAACCCTAGACTAATTTAATTATAGCTATTATTACAGAAATTAGCAGATACTCAGGTTATTGTACACAAGAATTTCACTTTACTTGCACATTATAAACATCAGAGAAGATATAAACTCTAAATGAAGGCGTAATTAACATTATACTTACTAAGCAAAGTTCAGCGCCTGGACCAGGTTTCCAATTGTCTCTTCGGCAATTATTTACCCATTTTTTCTTCTTTCTTCATTTTTAGGAAATTTTACCAATGTATGACCTTTCCGTGAATGATTTGAACAATTAATAGCTGTACATCCGCCCATTTTACACAAAAAAAACACAAAAAATTGTTGCACCTTAACCACTCAGCCGCCATTAAATCTCCCACTTGGGAGCGCGAATGCCTGATGATTCAGCCTGGTTTATAGGAGCCTTACCCCCAGCCAGGATAGGGCGAGGAGAAGGGTGGAGCTTCATTGCAACGTTGAAATTATAGCCACGTGACTTCATTTCGCGGTTGGAGATTTAGCGCCGACCCTGTTTACATAGTAACTACGACCAACATGTGGCGATTGGAGCGAAACGCAAAGGTGGCAGGTGGCTTATAAGAAGTTCTTGTTTTTCGTAACTTTTGCGTGGAAATACCTGTGTGTGTAATTAACAGGTGTAGAAAGTTTCCTACTAGTTACTTGGGTTTCTTCTTGTCTGCTTTTATTATCAGGTAAACGTCTAATACAACTAAATATTCGGTGAATGAAATTTTAATTCCATTTTGCGGATGAAAACCCAGTATTTATATCTTTCTTATTAAAGGTTATTAGTGTGTGTAGAAAAAATAACGACTTGCTGTGCCTATTGGAACACTACTGTGGCTCTGATTTATTTTTGACATCTGCATTTTTGAAATTTATTTACGTAAATCTTGCACTAAATTTTGAAGCACATACTTCAGATTTTTTGCTAATGTATTACTTTTTGTCTATTTAAAGCCTTGTTTGTTGAGAAAAGATATATTCAAAATGTTCCTTGAAATAAAATGTCCGAATGAGGCGCCCATCAAATAAAAGGGAACTAATTGAGGCAATAATTGCTTCGTAATAACGAAAGAAGAGCTTAAAACTCTTGTCAGCTCAATGAAACGTCGATGTGAAGCTGTAATTAAAAATAAAGGGTATCCTACTAAGTAGTGATAACTCATTGCAATCATCACTATGTATTGTATATCGATAACTATTATCGTTTAACTTTTTTTGTATTGCAAATAATTGAATTTTGTGTTTTGTATTGAATTCAGTAATAAAGTCTCTTTAAAATGATGTATACAAGTTTGCATTTTGTGAAACGTAACTTTTCTATAAGCATACAAAGTTCAAAAATATAAAAACTTCCAAAAGTGTCCACAATTTTGGCCACCACTGTAGTCTAACCTTTCAGTTTACCATATTTCATACATATGTTTTACTCGTATACATATGTTTTACTTGTATGTTTACTTGCGAGTCAGATGTGGCTCGCAAGCAGTTCTGTGGCCACACCTTTTATAGACAGTATTGGTAATAAGCATAGATAGTAATTGGTTCAGTGATGTAAATGGGGATATAAGAAGAATTGTATACATGCCTCGCCTTTAGCATTACACGGTCTTAATGATATGAGCTTGTTACCTCTAAAAAAAATCCTTCATGAAGGCATCCTTTCCGTAGGCAGATAGCCCTTGTGTACTTTGCCTTGATCAATCAATTGATGAACTAGCAGAAACTAAGAACAAAATATGATCATAAAAATATCTACAGGGGTTTTATTTTGCATTACTTATAGTTATCTCTTTAAAATAAGATAAAACACAATGTATGTTTACATTTTACAATGTATGTTTTAGTATACATTTTTTATACAGTTTATATTTGAAATTTTATTTATAGTGACCACCACTTCTGGTCTTAGTTGTGGCCAAGCCAAAGTCGGCTGAAGGCCCACCATTGGCGAGTGAAATTATTTATATGCATTTCTAAGATTACTTTTCTCTTAAGCTTAGGGAAAAAAAAGCTACAGTGCTATTTGCTGCAAAAACCTTGCTGATAACATTTTTTGTGAAATGATTATGTTCTTAGGATTTATACAAATCTAGTTACTTAAAAGGTAAATATGCAAATCTGAAAATATGTGAAGATGATGATTGCCAAAACATTGCTTTTATGCAAACTGAATCTTCTTTGCTTAGGTTTGCTCACTAGCGTATATCTCAGCATTAATTTAAAGCATTATGATTCTGATGTTCAGGAATTTCTTATATAGAAAGAAAAGGCAGACTCAGGCATTGGCAATAGTGATTTTGATAAAAATGTCTTTGATATTAACTTTCTTTGTGATTTTAATATCAGTTCTATTTTGATGTCTTATAAGCAGTTAAAGCCTTCAAACTACGCAGCTGAATAAATATAATTAAGCTGAATAAAAATAATCAAGATTTTCAATGCCTAATTTCAATGAATATTTAAGCAAATGGTTGCCAAAATAATAATAATAATAATAATAAAAGTGCCAAGAGCAGCATACAATGAACATAGCACTTGTGCTTGATTTACATAGCCAATGAATTTTTTTAGTTATATATTAAAATGAAATATCAAAATCAAGCTTGGAACCAAACCTTTGGGTTATAAAATTAATTGAAAATATGTAATCTTTGTTGACTGAGCCTATATTTTGTGTTTCATACAACTTAATTTTAAAATAATGCAAACTTGAGATTTTGTGTTATTTGAAAATTAAAAACACAAACCTCAAATTCTATGTTTGATGTTTGTGTTTGAATTAAACTTCAGACATAAAGTATAATCTTTTGTGAATGAAGTTATGAAACACAAAAGACTGTATTTTGTGTTTTGAAATTTTATATAATTTAAATTTTTGAAATTATTCAATAACTTATGTAATGCATTTTAAATTATTAACTATGGGATAAAATTGTAACAGACTGTTTAAATACAAGTATACTATAAAGTGTGAATGCCTTAAAATACTTGGCTAATCTTTGGAATATGGTAACTTGGCAATTTTTTGGCGACCAACCCTGCTACAGCAACCTGCTAGTTTTTTTTTTGACGCCATTTTGTTTTCACGAAGTAAAGGCATTTTTTTTATTCAACATTTTTTTCAACAATCTGCTAGCCGAATTACGCTTATGCTAGAACTTTTATGGAACAAAAGTGCTTAATCATGACGAAGATTAGGTGTGAAATTGGGAGAAAGTGCAAAATCGCCCACTGCTTGCCGCGTTTTTAAGAATTGCACATACACGGTATCATCCATGTACACGTCGACCTATTTTCACTTGAAAAAACATCCCAGAATTGCACAAAAATGGCATTGTGCACACTCTTGACTTTATCCATTTACACTGCTAAAGTCCTAGCTAGTAACCTTTATCGCCTTACCAAAATGTCACCAAACTACCTGTTACCATACTCCAAAGATTAGCCAAATACTTCTTTAAAAAAAGAACAATTGCTAATTTTAAATCATATTTGAGTGCACCATAAAAGATATTTTGAGCCCATCGCTATAGATCATAAATGTGGTAATGACAGTATCTTAAATTACTTTTAAATAATATTAACAAATACATCATATTTCTTAATATGTTTTAATATTAGTATGATGTATTTATTAGCAAAAATAATTTTTTTTTAGGGGCAGTATGTCTGAAATAAATATTAATGAGCCCCGATGGGACCAAAACACATACTGGGGGCGAGCTAAACACTTTTTCACTACAACAAATCCTTTAAATTTACTGTGCAGCAATGCTGAACTGGATAGAGCAAAGGAAATTGTTGTTAAATGCAGGTGAGTATTTTTGAAATTTTGACTTATTTAACGAGGGATAATTGTTATCTAGATATAGCAAGAATTCCAGATTATTTACTTTCTCAAATCCGGAATTTTCGGATTTCAGAAATCACATGTGCATGCAATTATCATCATGCCCCGTGCTCGAAATTGTATGAACAGGACAGTAATATCAAAGGTTATGTTCATAATTAATTATTATTGATGTAGAGGCTGTAAAAAGTGTTAGGAATTCTAGAATGGTTAAACTGTTAAAAAAGGAGTTGAAATGTATTTTGAAAGAGACATATGTAGAATGTTCTGATTATAGGGAAAGAAAAGCTTTCTTTCAAATTCTGTCTTATCAAATTCAGTGGCATGAATTCTGTTGTCCATTGTGAAACAACTACATTCATTCCTGTGATGATATCTGCCAAATATGATTTTAGTAAATGAAAATATTTCTGTAACACCAACAAGTCCCAAAGCTATCAAGTCGATGGTAACATATCTTATAATCAAACAAAACAAATTAAGGGGGGGGGGAATCTGAAATTTTAAACTTCTTTCAACCTGAATACTTCAGGTTTGTTTATCCTTATTCATTGTACTCCCTATTAACACTAGAATTATGGCAGTGGTCATTTTGACCATATCTGCATTTTAACTAGACATAACTTTTTTAATTATTTATTTATATCTTTGATATTTTTTTTACTTTTTCTAAAAACTTATGAATATTGCATGATTTTTTGGGTACATTTTAAGTAATTATTTTTGCCAATATTATTGTTTATACCTAGAATTATGGCCATTGGTTATTTTGACCGTACTCAGAAAATTATAAATTCTTTGTTATTTTTAAGAATTTTTTAGCTATTTCTGGTTTGCTGATAAATAAACAAGCATATTTTTGGTAAGGAAGATTGCATATTTCACAGAAGTGAATGGGGAAGGGAATAAAAACACCTGCTGGAGATTGTTTCATGCCATGTGTCTGTCCGTTTCCCTTATGTTAGAAAGGTTATTTTTCAAGTAAACGCAAATGTACTTTACTTCATTTGGATAGTTTTGTTGTTCTGACCAGTTTATCATGCTGCAATAGAAGCATTGGTAGAACATATCTAACAAAGGAAGAGATGCTGAAAGTTTTGAAAGCCTTTCTGGTGATAATTCTGCTTCAGAAACTGAACCTGAATGAAGAATTTTATATGCCGCTGTAAATTTTATGTGAGAGTCCAGGAAAAGCTGTATAAATTTTGTATGAAGGTATGGGGAAGTCACAAACCTTATTAATGTAAGTTTTATTATTGATATTTTGAGTAGTTGTAGTTAGAATATTGAAGTATAAACTTCAATTTGTTAATGATTTAAATGTGTCGTCATCATTTACAAAAATTACCGTATTTGCCGGTATACAAGATGCACCTCCTTTTTGATACACATTTTTGAAGGATAAAACTTTATTACTAATCATTATAAATGAATTTACAGTATTTTAAATATAAAGTAATACAAAGTAATACTTTATGCAAATACCCAGTCTATCTGGGAAAGAACACATTTTATTGTTTTTTGTCAAAAACCAAAAAATCATCTTCAGAGCTAAATGAAGTCACTTAAAACCTCTTCTAAATCAACATCCGGGTTCCTCTGTATCATCCAGTGCATTACTAATGTCACACTTCTTAAATGATTTAAACACTGTCTCTGTCTCACAGCATCCCACCAAGCTTCGATGTATAATATGCAGTATCAACGTACAAGACGCACCCCGTTTATCAGACCTATTTTCAAAGAAAAAATTGCATCTTATACGCCGGCAAATATGGGGTATATATTGTTTTTATTTTTTGTACGTAAGGCTTATTTAAGCACTTTTGCTACCTTCATGTTTAATTTGGTGTTAGCTTTACTTTTTCTATATTTGCTGATTTTGCCTTCATGTGCTATAAATATATATATAAGTATTTCGTGTTTTTCATTGTATTAATAGTATTGTACTTTAATCATGGTTTCATTTTGGTATAAATCTGTGCTTAATATAATTAATTGTTCAAAGTAATAATAAATATGCCATCTTTAGAGCAGCAAGATGTGCATTAATGCACATAGTATCTGACTGAAAGTTGAAAAAAGAATTGTTAATTATTTGCTTTAACATCGTGTTTTCATACATCTGTTCTCATAATTCATCAACTTTTCTGAACAGAAAAGAAGAGAAAGTTAATCTTTCTGAAGATGAAATCTGGCGGGCAAAGCATATATATGACTCAGCTTTTCATCCTGACACTGGAGAAAAAATGATTTTAATAGGTCGAATGTCGGCACAAGTACCTATGAACATGACAATTACTGGATGCATGCTTGCATTTTACAAGTTTGTATATTTTTCTTAATTTTAAACTTTTTATTATTTAAGAAATGTTTTATAAATTATGGCAAAAAAAAACCTATTAAAATTATTTTATATTCTTATAGTGCAATAGTCTCTCAGTCCTTGTCATTCAGTTTTAATGTTCTGTAGGTTTAATGTAGACCTGCTTTAAATTACAAGGATTTCAAGATTGAGATCTTTTATATGAGCTAATAATAATAATAAAGATATGTTGTATGGGAATTATTTTAAATATACCTGTGATTACAATCCAAATCAAGGATAGGTGACAAGACTGAGTGTGATACAGTGAAAACTCTCATGGTGACTGCACAGTCTACCAGTAGGCAAGTAGATATATTGGTGTTTAGTAATCAGTGTTTTGACATGAGCTTGATTCTTGGTGAATGGTCTGGCTGCATAGATTTTTTGTGAATTTCCCTAAATGTAATGTGAGCATAAGCCAGTTTTTCATAGAATGTCCTCCATGAAGGTATTTATTTATTTTTTTATTACCGTAATTTCTGGAAGAAAGGCCGCATCAGCGTAAACGCCGCACTCGAGAAAAATGGCGGGAAAAATTTTAAATTACGCAGAAACGCCGCAATAGATTAAATTGTGCGTGACATCATCTTGGGCCGTATAGATGCAAAAACTCAACCTAAGTCCTGATATATGACATACCAGTTAAGAAAAATGCATGAAATGAAACCATAACTCAAAAATAAATTAAAGGTAAGAAATGTATAGCTTCTGTGCCGTTTAGAGACATTTTCAAAAATGTTCCGCTCCCTAATTAAAAACTATCCAACAAGTACTTGTACGCAAACTGATGGGATTTGTATTTGGCAGAATGCCAAGAAAAATCCATTCAGGCTGAAAGGGAAATACGTCAGAGTTCGTTATTGCGAGGTAGGTGGAGTCGTGTCCGCCTTTGAAAAAAATTGCAGAAAAGGCAGGGGTGGTGAGAGGATGGGTCCTGGAAGATTCATGGAATGGCAGAGGAGAGAGACTATTCAAACTGATGAGAATGTTGATTTGAAAGGGGGGAAGAATGTTATTGTTCTGAGATCTCGTTTAGGGTGAATAAGGCATGTAGGTTCGTTCAAGGGAAAGAATGTAAACAAAATAACGTTCGCAAAAAGCAACTGAGTGGTCTTTTGTGTGGGAACAGAACCAGTCTATGCACAATGACAAGGCCATCCAAACAATGTACAATGACCATCATAGGAAATATTTTATTTTTATATTTTTAGTGCACCTAAACGCCGCACCCGCTGAAAATTTAAGTTTTAAACACGTAAACGCCCCGGCGTTTCTTCCGGAAATTACGGTATTTTTTTTTTTTTTAAGACAGTTACAGGATGCGGCAGAAAGAAGTCCCTAATTTCAGAAGCTGATTAAAAACCAAACTAAATAAGATATGAAAATTTTTTTTGTTACTCTAAAGTATACATAATGCCATTTTAGATCAGTTTTTTTCTTTGTCTTTTTTTTCATTTTAATTAAAACATGACTTAAATGGTGGCCTGCATTGACTGAGGCTTTCTCGATAACTATCCAAAACTGTGCAAGTCCTTTCAGGAATAACTGTAGCAACTTAAAGTTTTGTTTTCTTTAGAGCTTTTAAAATTAGCAAATTCCGAGAATAGTGTCTCGTGGATCGATTGCAAAGTGGATGCAAAAGGCAAGTTGAATTGCTGTTGCAACTTGTTGGAAACCTGCTATATGGAATAAACTGTTCTACAATGAAATTGTAATGCTCTCCCGAACAAGCTGTGGTATATTCTGAAACGGCATGCAAGTTGGTATTCAACGGAATACTTCCAGGGTATCTGTTGATCTTTGCAAGTAGTTATAAGTCCTTATATTTGAAAATAAATTATAAAGGCCTTTAAAGGTGCTTACTTTTTCTCTCAAGTACTTTTTTGTTTTGTTTTTAGCACCTTTTTTTTAACAAATGAGAATTTTCTTTTGTATTAAAGCTGATACTTAACTAAACAACTTTTTCCCCTTACCTGGAATGTCAAATGGTGAATCATATACTAGGAAATAGCTTTTCTCCCCTTTCTCTGCATTAACGTAACCTTTGATTTGTGCAAGTTCAGACAGGTGTATGCTGTTCTATTGGTAAAAGAATTGTGAATGGGATAGAAATTTCCACTACATTCCACATTCGTTTTCCTTCCAGTACCTATACCCACAGACTAAAGATGTCTCTGCCTGCATTTGAACTTCTATCAAGATTTTAATAATTTGCAATCTCATTCCGTGTGGTCAGTTCACATTTGAGTTTATTATGATTGTTATGCTTATATTATAAGCATATGTATGAATACTTATAATATTAATAAATATATTTGCAGTAAATGCTGAAGTATAGATAAACTTCAAAAATGGGTAAGTTTGTTTTTAACACAGATTGGATTTCAAAAGAAGAATATTTTGAATGGCATGTCCAGTCAGTTATTCACTAATTCGAAATGCTGTTTCTGTGAATTCAAAGTATATAGCCCAAAACAGCATGAAAGTGTACGGGAAAATGAAAAGTATATTGATGCATTTTCCTCCGAAAAGGTTGCATGCAGAAGAAGAATGCAATAATATTCCTTTGGAATATTCTGGTTTAATCGAAAATGTGTCGTCCAGCCATACCTTTCAGAATTTAAAAACCTTTTGTGAAAAAAATGAGACAAGATACTTTTTTTGCACACATTCATTAATGAAAAATACTTTAAGTTATGGGAAACATTTAAAATGATTTTTATTCTTTTCCATGGGGAAGCCTTTGTTGAACAAGGATTTTGCACCAATAAAAATATAGAAACAAAAAAATCTGGGAGAAAATTCATACATTGCCCAGCACATAGTTTGTGATTATGCAAACATGTTGGTAGATCCATAATGTATCAGTTGCAAAAGACAGAGTGGCAGTTTCATCCATTCATTCGTAGTATCAGTGATATTTGGAAGAACCGGGGGGGGGGAGAAATTGTTCAAGATGATAAAAGAAAAGCAGAATCAACAGAGAATGGATTTTTCTTAAAAAAGGAAAATTCTCTTAGAAGGAGGAATTAAAGGTCTTGAAAATAAAGCAAATGAATTTGCTGAAAAGGCTGAAGTTACCAAAGGCTTTAATCTTTTAAATAAATCAAATGAAATGTTAAAAACTATTTGTGAAAAACAAATTCAGTTAAGAGAACTAGACTCAAACATTAATGGAAAGAGTCAAAATAAAAATCAAATGTAAAAAATTTTATTATTCATTAATAAGCATAAATCTTTTTTCTTTTTTTATATTGTACTTTGTGTAAATATAATAAATATGGTTTATTATTATTTATTTTCTATATTTTCAACTGAAATTTCATCATTAAATATAGTTTAGTTTTGTATGGTTTTTTTTTTCTCCTATCATTTCGAGCTAGTTCTGTAAATTGAACTGTTATTTAAATAAAAAATAATTGTAATTGTTTCTTGTGATTGAGTAATGCTAATTCTCTCATAAAAATACTGAATTTCTCATATTTTAAATTACAAAGCAAGGTCTCATTTTCCTTTTAAGATTATGCAGTTGTGTATATATGTAATTACACAGGTGCTTATTTTTTCATAGAATGTCCTTGAAAAGTGCTTATAGGTGCTTATTTTTTTAAAGTAAATTGTGTCTACTAACCCTGGCTTCCTATCACTGTAAGTCTTCCTAAATCGAAGCTATGCAACTTCCAAATTGGGGGGTTCTTTCTGCAGCACCCTGTATAATCCACCTGTTTTGATATGTTTAATTGAACAAGAAGTTGGCTATGCCTTAAAATGATTTTTTCTTTTTTTTGCTTTTAACTACTTAAAGCATTATAAATATTTTGCATAATATATATAGTCTGAAAACTTTGGTATTTACATATTATCCTCTTGATCGTGAAACTATCACCAAGCAATGCAATTTAATGTCAGTTATGAATAAGCATTGCATAATTATATACCTATAATATCTGTGCTTTTATTTGACATTACTCAGTTGATTCTTGATAAGCCAAGTTTGGTATTCAAGAACAAGGATATTAATTTAACTGTTATTGCTGTACTTTTTCCATGCATTAAAAAAAAAAAATCAAAATTTAGCACCTGCCTTCTGCAGAACAGCAGGCAATGGAGTATTGTTCAACTTACGGGATCCTACCATAAAAAATTGTGTGTTTGGATGCTATAATGGTCAGCTGAATATAGCGAGGAAAACAATAATATTGGAACAATTACCTGCAGAAAGTTTGTACAAGTAGCATTCTAAACAGAACTTCCAGTAAAATTGGAGGGCCTAAGAAAATAATAGAAAGAGGTGAAAGATTTTTTATAACAGATAAGTGGAGGGGGTTTATTACTACTCATTGTTTATTAAATAAAGAAGCATTAATTTCTTCAGAATTGTGTAAGAATGATTGATACTACTTTGGTGAGATTTCTACAAACTTTCATGGTCCAGTGGTAGCCAACTTTCATGATGGAACAGTATGTTAATACTAAAAATTTGCTCTTTGGGGAAGCCATAGGAAGATAAACTTTATTTCTATAGAGTCTTTCTACTTATATTCTATTTTGTGGCACTTTTGTTCGTTACAATATCTCTAATGTTTTCGATGAATTTAGATTCAAGTTACAAAACTAATTAAATTTCGTTTTTTCTGAAGCAATATTACTGATTTTGAAGTGAGAGTGAGCTTCAACATGAAAAAAAATTCTGGCTTATTAGTCCAAATGATTCATTTGCAGGAGTTTCAGAAAGATTTGTTTGCTGTCATTTCAGAAGCATAAATTAGTCACCAATATGTAACTATTGACTACCGATATTCAGATTTTATCACACTATAGAAGTAGCAAAATCACTACTCAATAGCAACATTTACTGCTTTTATTTTTTTGCTATCATAATGAGTTGCTACTTAGACATAAACAATAGAATCAAAATTCAAAAACAAAATCATCATAAACAACTACTTGTTGGCATTCAACGTAAAAGAAATCAACAAAACAAAGTTAATTTTACTAACTAATTGCAAAGCTATAAATATGTGAAATTAAAAATAATTATTCCTGGGGCAGTATATGAGCCTCTAAATTCATAGTCACTCCAGCTAGTGCCATTAACATGTTAACATGTCATTGGGAAACTTTCCCTCTGTAGATGAGCTGTTGCAGGCATGGCAGACCTTGGGATATATTTTCTTGAATACTTTAAAATCTGTTGCTTTCAGCCAGAGTGTAGCATTTTAAACAGGTTGTCAAAGTTCAGTTTTTGCAGAAAGATCTGGTTTTGCCTCTGAAAATGCTTAATTGGTTTCTTAAGTCAGGTTTATTATGTACTGATATATGTGCAGAATGCCAGGATTTTTTTAAAAATCTTTTTATGTTCATCCAGAAATTTAACTAAGGATTAAGTATATTTGCTGTTTTTAGAGTGAAATATTCCACAGAATTGAATAATAAAAAATTGCTTTTGTAAATGTAGTGAGTAAGGGGAATTCTTCAATATCTCTGTGTGAAGAATTAAATTTTTGCAGAAGAAATCTTGAAACCTAAAAATTCCAAAAGTTCTACAACAAATATACACATTCAGCTTTAAAGAAGGACCATAATCATTTAGGTGTTAGAATCAAATTGAAGTGTTTCAGACATTCTTCTGGAGCATAAGCAATAAGAACTATCTGTAGAAGCTTACAACAGATCTCTCGTAATGTCATCCATTAAATGCTGAAATGTTGTAGCTGCAAATCCAGGTTACATTTTGGTGTTTTTTAATGAGCCAAATGATATGATAATTGTAGAATAATCCTTAGGATTAATCTGGTGGTAAATATTAATCAGGTATTAGTTAATTGCTTTATTATTTTTTTTGAATGCATATAAACTTTTGCTATAGATAACTTATGGGCACTACATGGCTGTATAGTTAGATTTTGGAATTCTTACAGAATTAATTATTTGAATTTCAAAATGACACAACATGAACCTTTTCCATATCTACTATATTTTTGTATTTGAAAGTATATGTCTACAACCAATGACTAGAAATAATACTGCATTAGGGCTTTTATGGGGCAATAGGTTTAATTACCCTGATCAGATAGTATGAATTAAAAAAAATGAATACCAGGTTTTTAAAAGTAAACTTTCACATCAAAACCATTCTTGATCACCTAATGTTTAATTCTACTGAAGTTATTCTGAGGACTTCTTCAGTTACTGAATTACTGCTCAATACTAGTAGTTTGTCTGGATTCAGATCTTGAAGAACAAGCTGTTTGAGTGTTTTCATGATTTTTCCCGTATGTAACATGAGCCACTTTTCCTTAAAGAGCCTTTCACAAAGACATCTTTCCTTAACACGTCGACGCTGGCCTGACCCACTGGTGGGTCATACTTGTCTGTTCTGTGGGTGGCATGACCCGCCGGTGGGTCATGCTCTATTGTTCCGCAGGCTGGCATGACTCACGATGTATATAAAAAAATACGTAGTACAAAATTATATTTTAATTATTTGACAGTATACATTAACATTTCAACATTATAATCAAATATTCAATACAAAACAAATAACTTAAAATGTAACTTATAAATTAAATATAATTAAATATTTAATATTTTCTATGCAATTTTTTAAAGCTGGCTAAACAAAGTGCTAATTTGCCCTTACAATTATCGCAATATGTGTTACTTTCTTTGCCCTATTTGTGGCATACTGAGTACCTTTTAGGCTTGCTAACCATTTATAGCATTCTTTGCATCACTTTCTCATCTTCCTTGCAGATCCCTCATACGAATTAAAAAAAAAGTTTTTTTCTTTTTTGTTGTTATTACTTCCCTAGGGGTATTCTCAAAATGGACGGACCCCGAAACAGCCAGCTAATTTAAGCGCTGCTGCACGAAAAGAACATTGTATATCCGCGCCAGGGTCAACCTGTTAAGTAAATCGCCTTTGCTCTGTGCTGTTTTCAATTAAATAGCAAACAACAAGCAGAGAGCAAATTAGATTTTCTTGAAGTCTTTGGACATTCAGCAAATTTTATCAACTTTAGTTGTTGATTTCAAGTTCAGTCCAGGACCCATCCTAGTTGGGGGCAAGATGTTGCACAGCACGTGGGGGGCCAAATTTAAGGGTGATGAAAGGATTATAAAATATGTATTTCTGTAAAAAAGGGTGGCCAATTTTAATTTGCATGTAATATGCATGTACATTTTTCTATATGCAGACTTGTATTTACACTTGAATACATACTGTAAAAAAAGGCGGCTGCAAGCTACCTCACTGTAACTATTGATCTGATGTACATATTTTTAACTACATAATTTTTCATAATAAGGCAAATTATTTTATGATCGGTAGTTTTAGTAAGAATGGTTTTGAAACTCCTGAATTCATATTTTTATGTGATTCCTGTATTTAATTATATTTACTCATACAGATTATAAAATTTATAGTATAGTATTTATTAGTTGTTATGTTAAGCAAGATTTTGCTTTATTTAGTATAGTAAAATATAACTATTATACATTGAAGACTAGAGAATAAAAATGTGTTATTTGTGTAGTGTCTTAGTATTTATTATGGTAAGTAGTAGTTACCATGACTTGGAGTTTTGCTCTTTTAATTTTCATTTTGGAAATTTTCTTTTACTGTAAGAAATTTTATTATAATAATTTAAAACTTGGTAACTTTTATGTCTTTGCTCCTGGGAAAATTATATTTACATTTTTATGTGCCTTTTTAGCTAGATACTGCCTTCGATTAATTTTTAATTTAGCTAATGAAACTGAAAATTTCATGTGATAACTATTTTATCTTCATTTTTGGTTTAATTTTGCAATGTAGAATTGTGCTTTGAAACTACGAATGCTGATTTTTTTTTTTTTGGTTTGTTTTCAGAACAACACCACAAGTTGTATTTTGGCAATGGATAAATCAGTCTTTCAATGCCATTGTTAACTACACAAATCGTAGTGGGGATTCCCCTATTCCTGTGAAGTAAGTTACTTTTATTTTAATGTGTTCTCACCACCTCTATTTTTATGAGACAATTACATGCTAGAAACTGCATTATAAAATTTGCTTTATTTGGAATATATGTATATCTCAAGCTTGCCACGCTACCTGGAAAACCGGGAAAAGTCAGAGACTTCAAAAATTTACTAAAATAGTCAGGGAAAAAGTCAAGGAACTTAAATATTTTAGTCAAAATCTGGAAAAGTCAGGTAATTTCATACTGCGAACTTCCAAAAAGTGATTTTCATGCAAACGTCAGAAGCGATCACTTTCTTTGTTAATCATGTATCGTGTGTCATTTGGACAGCTGGCATAGATACAGTTTTCGCAGCAGCAATCAGATTGTCTTTTAGAAAGGCAAAGCAAGTTATCTTTGGTTTCCAGTAACCTTAAGAATCCAGAGATTCGCATGTGCAGTGCATGTTGAACGAAAGTAAATCCCCCTTCTCATATAAAATTAAATCTTTTAAACCTTTTCCTCTTTCTTAAATGCCTTATTTGTCATTTTCCAGAAAAATAAAAAGACTAATCAGCCATCTTGTCTAACCATTTAATATATCTATATTCGCCAAAATGCTGTCGATTTTTGTAATTCAGTTTTTATTCCTTAAGTAATTAACTTTATTTTAATGTTATTTGTTATCTTCTTCCTTCTAAATTTATTTATTATTTGATAATAATGGTTTCAGATTTCAAACAGTTTTCTCTGGCATACTTGTGAAACGAATTCTAACAGTAATATGGCATACCATCACAAAATTTAGTTCACATATTTTTGCTTATGTATGCTGCTAAATAAATATTAAATACTTGAATTTATTTAAAAATATCATTAAATAGATTTCTTTCTTCCTTTAGCCGCAAAATGTCTGCAGAAAAGACATTTTTAAATATTCCGTTTGGGCAGATTCTAATCTCAGTCCGTAGTGGAGGAAACAGCTCCTACTATAGTTATAAAAGTAATACTTAGGTGATTATATATATATATTATAAAGTCGTATGTAACTGGTAAATTTTTGTGTTTTCTAGTGGTACCACAATGAATTTACCCTCAGCACAACCAATGTGCACTACACAGATAGCCTGGAAATTTCTTGAAATGCGCCTGGAAAATTCAGGGAATTTCATTCTTCTGTTTGAAGGGAAACCCTGATATATATATATATATATATATATAATATATATTAATTATAAACTCACATTATTAAAAAAAACTATATTTTGGTGTTTTTTTACCTATTTTCCTAACTTTCCTAGCATCTTTTTAAGATTATTCATAATAACCGAGTCTCTAAATCCTCCCTAATGATGAAAAGGTTTGGTTTGGTTTATGTGATTATAGCAAAGCCTAGAGGGCTATCTGCCTGAGGGGAGGGATGCCTTCATGGAGGACTTTCTAAGGAAAACTGGCTCATGTACACGTTACACATGGGGAAAACCACAAAAACGCTTATACAGCCAGCCCGTTCACAGAATTTAAACCTTGGACCGAACTACCAGTGTTCCATAACTTTTATGCTCAACCACTGCTGAGCCTCTTAATTATGGAAAGACTGCTGTATAAACCAATTGAAATTCAGATCAGCAATAATGACATAAAATTGACATCAAAATTGGCATCGATGCAAAAATGGTGTAAACTAGAAAAAGAATATTCTTTCAGAACTGTATTCATGTATAGCTTGTTTGGAGAAAAAGCAGTTTTTTGCATCTGTCACATACTAGAATGCTTAATCAATGCAATTATTCAAAGAGTTCGTGTGGTGAACCAGTGGAAGACAGGAAGTTGTTCAAAGCTAATGGATCATTATATCTGCCATTGAAGTTAGCTGAAGTGTAATTGCATGCTTATTGATTTAGTTCCAAGAAATGGGAAGAGTTCAACATCATTGATCAAGGTTGTTCATGAGCTGCCATTCCAGATGATGATCATTATTTGTAAATAATGACCATATGGATCAGGTATCAAAGTACTACACAGCTGCAGAGACAACTTTTAATGGCAGTTGCAAGAACACTGGCATACTTAATTTGTAGACACATTCCTGCATGGGTATTGTATACCTATAGACCAATTGTTCATGTTCAAATGGCCTTCTAAAGTTACAGGGCTCAGAGAAACTGGAACCATTATGACTGGAGACCTCTGAATGGAGGTAAAGTTTTTTTCTCCAATGAGTTCATATTCATCTTAGAGCCAGATAAGCAACTTTTGATCAGAAGAGAATGCAAAAGCTCTTCTTGAAGAATAGAGAATACCCCAATTCCCAGATCTCATCGTATACTTCATTAATTCAGTGCCTTGCAAATGAAATGGCATGTGCAGACATTTAGTGTGCTTTATTTTCAGCATGTGTATACCTACTAATTTTTGCTTGTCAGTGTATTTGATTTCAAAATAAGAAGTACAAGAAAACTAAACTGAAACAGTTGCCTAGAATTTTAAAAACAAGTCCAAATAATATTTTCATACTAAGCAAGAAATTCTATCAAAAGACGGCAAATTACACCTGGTAATGGCAGTGCAGGGGTAATAGCACTTATATCTAAGTTCCCCCCTTCCCCATTAAAAGATTAAAAGAAAGTGCTAAATATGCCCAGGTGCAAACCAACTGAGGAACCAGCAGCTTGGCATAATAAATGAACTTTCGGCCCTTGACTGTGTTGTTTTTTTATATGTTGGGTATGTGCTCAGTGATGATTACCAAGATGTACACAAACATTGTTTATTCTGCATTGCTCATCCACTATTCTATATTACAGTTATGATTAAAGATAATAATAGATACAGTTACAGTTACATATATAACATCTCCCTTTTTTATAAAAAAGTAATAATAGTAGTAAAATTAAACATATTCTTTTAAATAATAATGTTTCTTAACAGTCCTACCATATCGATTAATGTAGTTATGTCCATTTGAAAAATTTGATGATACTATACCTCTTTTACTATTTGGTGACACAACACTTCTGTTAGATTTTAAAGGACTTACAGGAACATCTAAATTTGTAGTGCTCCTGCTGTTCTCAAGTATCTCGGGTTCATCTATAACTTCATTCTGATAGTTGTTTTGTATTCCAAACTCTTTCTGATTAGTTCCTTTAAGGTCTCTTATGTTCCTTTCTACAATTCTTCGATCTGTTCTTATAATCCTATCTGAACATGGTCTTTCTGCTTTTTATATAATTTTCTCTCTTTCATTTAGTTTTTTCCCTCTCTCATTTATGTAAACATGATCTCCTTTTTTTCAGTGGTTTTAACGGTTATCCATTCCTATCATAATAACATTTTTGTAAGGTTTGTCTCTTCAATAAATGTTGTTTATGGTCTTCATATCGTTTAGCTTGGACGAAATTCTCTTTTATAGGCATCAATCCATTTACTTTTCTTCCAAACATCAATTCCGAAGGTGACTTAATTTCATCTGAAATAGGAGAGTTATGATATTCCAGTAATACTAAATATGAATCCTTGTTGTCAAATACAGCTTTTTCTAACAGTCGCTTGACAGTTTGAATATGTCTTTGAACCATTCCATTAGATTGTGGGTAATTTGGACTTGAAGTTCTGGTTTCAAAATTCCATCTTCTTGCAAAGTCTTTAAATTTCCTGCAATTATATTGTGGACCATTATCTGAATATACTATTTTCGGAATACCATGTCTTGCAAAAATTGATTTCACTTGCTTTATCACTGCTACACTTGACAAATCTTCCAAATGTCCAATTTCAACATATTTGCTAAAATAATCTATAACTATTAGATAATCCCTTCCTTGAAAGTAAAAGAGATCTGTTCCGAATACTTCCCATGAACCATTAGGTATTTCTTTAGATATCATTGGTTCTTTAGTATTAGCTTTTTATAAACTTAAACATGTTTGACAATTCAGTATTAAATCTTCAATTTCTTTCTACATTCCTGGCCAATATAATATTTCTCTTGCTTTGATCTTGCATTTTACTACTCCTAAATGACCATAATGAATTCTGCTTAACATATCTTTTCGTAAACTTCTTGCTACAACAACACAGGAATTTTTAAATATTAATCCATTTGCTTCTGATAGTTTTTCTCTGAAGTTAAAATATGGTTTTGCCAGTTCTGGAACCATACTTTTTTCATCTATGGCCATCCAGTTTTAATTAATTTTTTTAAAACTTGTAGTTCTTCATCCTTTTCTGTTTCCAGTTGAAAGACTTCCATTTTACCTTTAGACATTGGTATACATTCTACAACCAATCCAACATGAGCTTCTATGTCTCCTTCAAAGAAATCAGATCCTTTATCAGTGAATGATCTTGATAATGCATCCGCTATAAAAAGTTCTTTTCCTGGTTTATATTTTATCTCAAACTGATATGGCTGTGATCTTATACGCATTCTTTGTAATCTTACAGGGTATTTATTTAATGGCTTTTTGAAAAATGATTCCAGTGGTTTATGGCCACTTTCCACAGTAATATATTTTCCAAATATATACTGGTGAAATTTCTCACAGGCAAATACAATAGCTAAAGTTTCCTTTTCAATTTGAGCATAATTCTTCTGTGTATCTGTTAATGCCTTAGACGCATATGCTACTGGTAAATTATTCTGCAGTAAGACTGCTCCTAGTCCTTCTTGAGATGCATCTACAGATAAAACTACTGGCATTTTTATATCATAATACTGTAAAACTGGTTTATTTACTAAAACATCTTTTAGTCTTCTAAATGCTTTTTCATGTGTTGCATTCCAGTTCCAGATAACTTGTTTTTTCAACAAATCTCTCAAACATGATGTCAATTCTGATACATTAGGTATAAATCTAGAAACATACGTAATCATTCCTAGGAAACTTTCCAATTCTTTCACAATTTTTGGTGCTTTTATATGTAGAATAGCCTTAATTTTGTCTTCATCTGGTTTTAAACCATCTTTAGAAAATATATGTCCCATATATTTCACTTCATTCAGCCCAAATTGACATTTATT